TACGAGAAGGAAGACTAATAAAAGAAGAGAATGTTTTGAATAGGGCTTGTTGATGTAATGTGGAAGCCAAAATGAGTCTGTGGATCTTCTGTAATTCCCAATCCTTTGGTATCCAATATCCATGCTTTCTTCTGATATACTCTATCCTTCTGTCTACTCAAATTCCCTGATATTAATCAACATTACAGATTAAACGGAAAAAAGAAAAATACATGTCAATACTAAATTGGTCAGATAACATGCATATTTCACCTTAAGAAAAGTTTTTCTCGTGAACTTGCATGGAAACGGCAAGAAAGAAGCTTGAAGCTTGTTCCCCTTTATTTATTTTTCTTATAGCAAAAGTCACCTTTGAAGCCGAATCCAAGATTTAAATTTGATTAATTCAATTTATAAAATCTTAATTGAACATTTGGAATTATTGTTCGAAATTTAGTAATTTATACGTATGAAAAAATGTTGAATTCGATTGAGCCCGTAACTTCTTTTTGATTTTCAAAGCAGTGAGTATGAAAGGAAAGAAGAAATAGAAAGGAATGGTTTGTACACCTGATTTTTCAGGTTCTGCTTAGTACTGTACAATAATTTATTGCTGATTCTCCTTTTTTACCTTTCTTTCTGGTTGCGTATAACAGAGCTGTAATACTTGGAGCCATGCAATTGAAAGTGGAGAATGAAAAGCAAGTAGTTTAATTATCTTGAATTAATCTGGTAATTTTGTAGAAAAGGAAAATTACATATGACAAGTCTAATTGTCCGAGTCAATTGAGTGGGCTCCCTCTTGGACCAGAGATTTCAATGGGCAGTAAACCAACTTTAGCTTGAGTTATGGGGCAGCCCATCGTTCTAGGAAGGACAAAAAGCTTAGAAACAACAACAACCCAGTGTAATCTCACTAGTGGGATCTGGGGAGGGTAATGTGTACGCAGACCTTACCCCTACCCCGAAGGAGTAGAGAGGCTGTTTCCGAAAGACCCTCGGCTCAACAAGACAAAAGGACAAAAGAACAAAAGAAAATAATATTAGTAACACCACAGAACAATATGAAAGAAATATATATATATATATATATATATATGAAAAATAATAACAACATGAAATCAAGAGGCATGATACCAAGCAAAAGCAAAATAGTATCCTTACCAAACTAGTCCCCCAAAGTTATGACATAAGATAATACTCAACTACCTCCTAGCATACAACCTTAATACTCGACCTCCACATATTCCTATCAAGTGTCATGTCCTCAAAAATCTGAAGCATCGCCATATCCTGCCTAATCACCTCCCCCCAATACTTCTTAGGCAGCCCTCTACCTCTTCTCGAGCCCTCCACAACCAGCCGTTCACACCTCCTTACCAGACTTGCTTCCCGCATCTTGTCATCAATGGGAGCCACGCACACCTTCTCTCGAATATCATCATTCCTAATCTTATCCATCCTACTATGCCCGCACATCCACCTCAACATCCTCATTAGAAAGTGAGAGGAAATTAAACTGACTTTGGTCACTTAAATGTATTTTTAAAAAGTTGGAGGTCCTTTTTAGATAAGAAGGTTCTTTTTTTTTTTTCTTTCCTTCTTTTGCCATTGTTACAGTAGACAATGCTGGTCAATTAATTAAGCAGGAGACTATTTATTTTTTTACAAATTTGCAGAAGAATGTCAAATTTAAATCAAATTCTGAATTTTCGAAGACTCCAAAAATATTCTGATTTTCAGTAGCCTTCTTTCATAGGAGTATTTCTCTTTCATCTTCTTTTTTCCTTTTTCTGCAGTGAAGGGAAATATAAAAAACATTAGTTTGAAGACATTTGCATCTCCCTAAAATTATGAAGTATTAAGCTGGAAACCTCGTGTCTTACAAAATATGCACATCTTTAATTCAATCATTATCTAAACCTTATGATAACATTAATTTGGAACTCTGTGTCTCGGAAAACTTGTAAACTTAATCCGAAATTGGTCATCTTCAATAATATGCGTATCATTACTTGTATACAAATTCTAATTTGAAGTTCAATGGTCAAAACTTGCAGTCTATATATGAAGCAGAATTAGCGAATTTTGTTATATCTCCATTAGGATTTGTAAGATGTTTATCTGGAATTACCTCACGTTTAGCACCAGCTGAGAACTGAGAAAAGCTAGCTGAAGGTCATTTGGATTAGAATTAGCTTTTCAATCCAGGAACAAATTTTTATCTTTTTAAATGGAAAGATGACTTTTGTTAATACTTATATGTTTTACTCCCTCCGATTCACTTTAATTGATTTTTTTTTTATGATTTACAATATTTGATTTTTTTCAGATTCAAAAGGAGTTAACTTTTTTTTCTTTCCAAAATTGCTCTTGGAGTAAAGAGCGTAAGACTATTGTTATATTTTTAATGAACAAATTAAGGTTAATAAAGTTAATTTTATTGTTAATTAATGCTAAAAGATGGATTCCTTAATATATGTGAAAATAGTCAAAAAAAATCAATTAAAGTGGGCCGTAATATTTTACTTCCTTGTACATTTAACAGTAGCCACTTTGTATTGCTGAAAGCTTGTTAAAAATTTGACTCTCTTTAGCCTGGTTGGGTAATGCCAAAATCCTGCATATAGCAAGCCTACGAAGGGCTGACGTGGCCCAAGGCAGAGTCATGGTCAAGCATGGTGCTTGTTAAAATTGCACGGGCTAGTCAGTTTTTGGACTGGTCATTCAAAAATAGCCAGTGTTTGTAAAGTCATTGAAAAATAGCCACTATTTGCTTTAACAGGAATTAGTCCAGCATAATATACTGGAGATCGGTGCACCTGTGTATGAACTTCTAGCATATTATGCTGAAACTCCAAGACGCGGAAAGTTCCAGCATAATATACTGGAGATTGGAGCACATGTGTATGAACTTCGAGCATATTGTACTGGATCGGTATATTATACTGGAACTCCAGTATATTATGCTGGAGTTCCAGTATACTTATGCTAGAACTCCATTATAATATGCTGGAGTTCCAGTATATTTATGCTGGAGTTCCAGTATATTATGCTAGAGTATTTTCCGGATTTTGAACAATATTTTCGTTCAGATTTATCTTTACATGAAAAGTAATAAAATTTCGATTACTTTTGAAATTGTGGTTATTTTTGAATAATCATTTGTAAATCTGGCTATTTTTGAATTTCTCCCCATGGTGCTTGCTTAGTGGACTTGATTAAGAAATAAAGTTGTATCCTTACTATCAGCAATAACTTTTGGCATAATAGTAAGTGCTTGATCCTAACAGTAATATCAGAGTCAAAGTCATGGGTTCGATCCTCAAGAACAACACGCTGCATAAAGCATGTTGGGAGGGGGATTGTTGGATAAAGACAACGTCACGCTTATAGCAAAGCCCATGAGAGAATTGGGTGGCCCGGTTCAAAGTTATGATCGAACATGACCCTTGTTTGATAGGTTTGCGTAAGAAATAAAGCTACGCTCTTGCCGTGGACTATAGCTTTTGGCAAGCAGTTGATCCTAACAAGCCTTCACTAATAGTATTTGGGAGCTAAAGTAATAATTACTTGAACGTTGTCTTGTGGCAACACAGAGGCTCAAAATTTTGAAATTAATGGCAATTAAAAAACATCAGTACATAATTAATTGCGCTTGATCTGCTATTGGCAGCCAGCATCATTACTGAACTCCATCATATTGGTTACAATCATTCTACCAAATAGAGCTTACGCATTATTAGCATTCTCGCCTTTGTCATGGTACTAAAAGGGCCATATGAAAATGATTCACTATAATAGTAAAAGAGGCAGAAAGACTGATTTTCTTTGCGGAAAATCTCTTTCTTCTTTATGGCATTTTCTTGCAGCCTTTTTAAAGAATATTCTCATCATATATATAGTCCTTATCTTACCTGTTTGATTGGACACGAAGTTTAAGAAAAAAATGAAGACTTTTGGAATTTGTGGTCCTAAACAAGTCCAAATGGGGCCCATAGTATTTGTGTGGTTATAAAAGCTTCTCATTAAGGATAAAGTTGTAACTTTAAGCTAAATTATTACCAAATTTAGAAAGGGTTCATTCTTTTTGGAACGAACCAAAAAGGAAATATGTTCACATAAACGGGGAGTATGAATTTCACTCTCACACTATACATCAGCCGATCCTGCCTTTCACAGGTTTGATAATCCGACAGTTCTTACCTCATCATTCAACACTTTTATGTATTTTTTATTGTTAATAAAATTGGTGTCTTAAATGAAATATATAGTTTGTGAGCACATCGTTTGTTCGCCGGTGTATAGTCAAATCTCTCTATAACATCTTCATTTGTTTCGATTTTTTTTATATTATAGCGAAATGCTGTTATAGAGAACATATATTATAATATAACATAAAAATTAGTTCCATAAATGTCTTGACTTTTATAGTAAATAGTTGTTATATAGCGATATTGTTATAGAGAAATCTGACTGTATATATTGCCTCCCAGTACATGCAATGTACCTGAGAGATGCCCAATAAAGCTTACACAAGTTAGAAATTTTTTGTCTCTCATTGAATTTGAATCTTGGACTCATATGATTTCACTGATTTCATTAACGGTTAGGCAACACCTTTGATTGTATGCATATAATTCTAACATGGTAAGGAAAGAGAAGAACTAGTTCAGGATTTCTGGTACAAGAATTGCATGGAAGCATGCAACAACATATTTGGCACTAGCTAGAGGTGGTCGATATGTCAACGTAATTTACAACATGAAATATATAGTATCTTTGTCGCGATAACTTTATATAGAAAATAAAGCTGTAGCAAATTCAGATCTTTCTGTGAATAGTGTGTTGCGAGAGAAAAGGTATTTTGTGGGGTTGGGCCATAGGGGTGGTGGGGGGTAAAAGGTGATCATCACGCCAACACAGTCCACGCGTGAAATCTCTCAAATTTCAAAACCCAATGCAACATTCAGCAATGCTATGCTATGAGGAAGGGAGCAGTAATTAGTACTTCTGTCGAATCTCTGGCTTCATAAATACAACCTTAGTGTTGGGTGACTTGTAACAATTACTATAAATTACATAAATAAAAAAGGGATAGCTAGCTCTTTCATCAGAACCTAGCTAGTACTTGAAACAAATTTAAGGAGAGCCAGTGTTCTGTTGACTGACCATAATTAGGTCTTCTTCGTATTGAAGACCAGACCTACCTCTCTTTCTCAAAAATCTTGAATTTAATCAAACAACAATTTTGTTTCATCAACATGTCTGTAAGTCTCTCTTTCTCTGTTCTATGTATAATTTTTGGAATGAGAATGTGAATGGAATAATATTATGTTGCAGATGGTGGAGGTAAGAGTTCCAAACTTGGATTGTGAAGGATGTGCTAACAAGCTTAGAAAAGCCCTTTTCAAGCTCAAAGGTCAGTCACAATGCTCACTAACATGACAATGGCGACTTCTCTTTCTATATATATCTGTAAATGGAATAGAGTGTTGGGCTAAACTAACTTAAAGATATTCTTACTGGTATTGTCTGCTTTGGACCGAGCCAACACAGGCTTTCCCAAAAGTTATCACACCATTAAGTAATCCATACACCTTATATGTAGACTCTTAATGTTTTTAGCTACTAAGACTTTAATTTGTTGGCACACTCAATAGAGAGAAATCGTTGTTCCTTCCTTATAGTAAAATTGAGCGGTAAGGATTATTGAAGTGTCCTTCTTCGTAGAAGGGGAAGAAAAGCTGTACAAGTATGAATACTAATAATTAGAAAAAGGAGAATTTCTTCACGTACATGAATATTGTGAAATTAAATTGTATATATATGGATAAGATTAAGTTGGTTCTAGGTACAAATTAACAAAAGAATAATAATATTGATATCTCAAAGAAAATGTTTCCTACTTTCTAACTGTTATACACAATCAGTAGAATTATTTATTAGAAACAAAAATAAAAATTGCTATGGTGGAATAGATAGTGTTGACTGAAGAGTAGCAGGGCCGTCTCTTCTCAATCGCGACTCTTGAAGTTGACCCGTGACCCCTGTTCTTTGGGTGAATTAATTTTGGAATTTTTTCGTTCTTTTTTTTTCTTTTGTTTTTTCATACTTTTGGAAGAAGAGCGACCTTAAATAACAAGAAAAGAAAAAACCTTTGGTGAGATTTGAACTGACATCAAAGAATGTACAGAGAAATTGCAGCCATTTAGCTGCGCGTTTAACCTTGTTTTGAATGTTTGGAGTTCCAAATGATGCTGCAGTCTTATTTCCTAGATACTGATCAGGCTTCCCTTAGTATTGCCCCCATGCCTCATGATTTCCGTACCATAGCAAAATGTTAGTATGAAAAGAAAAAGAAAACAAAATTTCATTACTAGAATGATATTAAGGTTTTGATAGTACAGGTTTGGAATGTCTCCTTTAGCAAGGAAGTATGGACTGCCTTGTCATTGGATTCTTTCCCACATATCATCATGGGATAAAACGAGAATTATCCAACAATTGCGGTTGTATCTCACTCCATTAACTTTATACTCTATATCTTTAGTCCTAGTGTGGCCAAACACATATAGTTGCACTTTTTTACATAGATATGTGGTCAAGGAGAAAGACTGAAAAAGGTCGCAACAACCAAAGAATAATAAATCATACACAACACCAAACTGGATTACATTGAAAAGCAAACGGGGCCAACAACTATGTCAAGTCCAATAAGCATGGTAGTTTCAAATTAAATGAAAACATGACAGGATTAGTACATATCACATGCCTATGAGAGATTTCCCACATAATTGACTTTATGTTGAATACATAATTTGAACAAATCCATATAGAAACAAAAAAAAAAAGACACTAGGTGATTATTTCTTTCGATTTGCTTAAGCTTTCATAGGTAGAGTTATTCAGTATTTGTGTTGGTCGTAATAAACACGTGTATGGTCAAATTGTCATGATATGCATAAGCTGGCTGTACGGCACTTTAATTTGAAGGGACAGCTATTACACAAAAACATCATCGTGTATATTTTTCTTATTTCTTGAGATGAAATTTCAGGAGTAGACGATATAGACATTGATATGGAGACGCAGAAAGTTACAGTTAGAGGCTACGGATTGGAAGAGAAGAAGGTGCTAAAGGCAATAAAGCGAGCAGGGAAAGCAGCAGAGCCATGGCCCTATCCAGTTGGGTACTCACATTTTACTTCATTTTATCAATACCCAAATCACATCATCAGCCATTACTACGACACATCTCGAAATGTTGCAGCACCAAGTGTACATACTTTCTTCCACACTCCTGCAGTTTATTCAGTTGCCGTGGCTTCAGATGAAGCTGTTGCTTCTCTTTTCAGCGATGACAACCCACATGCATGCACTATCATGTGAGGTTAATCTTCATGCCTTTCGGATTTAATTTGGAGCTACATCTCCTAAATTTTTGTATTTTCCCTCTGTAACTTGTATACTTGTTTCGGAGAAGACCGGCACTAGTGCTTATGAGCTTATTGATCTACTGTTTTTTAAGCTTTAATGGGCTTAATTATTGTCGTTGATGCATTGTATGTAGGGGTGGCAAACGTGCAGGTTGGGTTGGATATGTGCGGGACAGATGCGTATTTAATACAAATATAACGCTCCTCAAATTTATAAAAGTTTCAACATACACTAAAATATAGAATTTAATTTTTTTTATCTTAAAAATATACTTCTATTACGGATTTAAACCCCCGTGATTGATTTTTGAGTTACTTTTCTATAAATAATTGGATATACAATTAGAGGAATATTAATAATTTAATATTTTTAATTATTAAAGGTGGGTATCATTAATTATTAGTTAAGTGAAAACAAAACAAACCAAAAAAAAAGAAGCAATAAAACAAGAAAATAGGGGACCAAATCGAAAAGCTCATAAAGGGCTGTTGGAACCCAAAAATGATTGAAATCCTTGGTACGAAAAAAAACAGAGAAAGCCTTCTGTTCCTTCTTGCAAACAGAACCATATAGAGGCAGCAAATCCAGCGAACTACTTCACGTAGACAACACGAAAATTCTAGGCTTCCTTACAAATAATTAGTTCTTGAACACAGGTATGTAAAATTTCATATTTCCTCTATATCAATAGTAAATTCCATGTTTAGGTATGAAATTTTAAAATTGATTAAAATGCACTGGTTGTTGTAGAATCGATTGTTTGGCTGACGTCAATTGGACTGGGGCCTACGTATTAACTCGAGAAGTATTGAGATGAGTTGATATAACCCTTTTTTAAAGTGGTTTAACTCACAAAAACACACATACAAGGTGTTTGATGAATTGCTTAAAAGAGCTTATATTTACTTAATTGGAGCGAATGAGTACTTATTAACATAGAATTGTTCTAGCAAAAGTTTAGATAATTTATTATGATATATGTGCATAAATTTTCAGATTTTTGTATTATTCTTATATGCTATTTTCATGTTGAAAATTTATGAAGAAGCAAGAATCTTTAGAAATTTTTTTAGATGTTTATTTCATCTAAGTCCGAGCTTTAAACCAGATAAGTTTATACTACTATTTGGAATAAGCAATGGTCTGGTTATTAGAAAATTAGTATTTAAGGATGTCAAACTTGGATACCTATGACCTAAATCAGCCATTAATCGATGTACTTGAAGTGGAGATCATTACAGAAGTATTTCTCAATAATATAGTTGAGTAGAAGAAAAAGAATTGATGATGAAAGTCCACTTATCAAATGAGATGGAAACTAATACTATAACAGATTACAACATGTGCTAAAATTCCATTTAATTGAAACAGTTGTAAATAATGCACTATTATACTATCATCGCCACTCTTTTCTATTATCTTTAACTAGTGGAAAACACAAAATATAACAAGTAATACTATTGCTTAATAATATAAGCACAACATTACATGTATCTGTGGGTATTATATGCATAAACATAATATACAAATTGTATAGACAAGTGTGCATCAATTAAAAAGCTCTACATTTAAGGATACTAGTAAGAGTATGTATTGGATGTTCCAGAAAAGATTTAGACTTGAAAAGTCACAAGAAGAAGCTTTAGAAAGAAAAGATTTTTGGAAGTATTCTTTATTCTGAGAAGGGGTCATCGTCCAGGCCGAGGGTCCTGACCAAGACGTTGACTTCCTGAAACTACTTATGCCAAAGTAGGGAGCACGCGAGCCGAGGGTCTCGTTGCTGAGAATTTTCTTAGCTAAGCTAAGGTATGATGCATGAGTTCTGAGAACCATGAAGTGAGTGACACCTCGTGGATTGAGCCTATTCAATCAGGTTGGGATCGAACCCATGCCGATCACACGATGACTAAGATAGAAACAGGTCAGGATAGTTGGAACTCCCAATGTATAAAGTGAAGTATTTTTTTATAAGAAATAAAAAGAAAAGAATTTCTTTTAGAATATTCACAAACTGCTATTATGCAATTATTTTAGAATTATTCTTATAAGCTTAATGTTTTACATGCATTTAGAACATTTGCTCGTAATGTATATGTTATTAAAGTTCCGCCCCCTGTTGTTGAGACTCACTGAGTACAATGTATGGTACTGACGTTCTCTTTTGGGAACCTACGTTGGCCTGCGGTACAACGTAGGAACCGGTTTTGCAGGCGAGCAGGCTACTGGTTAGGACTTCCTTCTCTTCCACTACTATTGATGAGCTCCGCTTTTGTTCGTGGAGTATTCCTTAGAGTTATCTTTATTTGGTTATTTCTTTGTTTAGTTATAGAGCTGGCTAGAAAATCTCATATCCTAAGCAGTGCGTCAGTTTATCAGTAGAGGCTTCATAGACATAGTCGTTGGGCTAAGATTCGGATATTTTTGATAATAAATTGACAGTAACTCAGTAGTTACTATGAATAAAGTTTTGGAGTTGATTTATTTAAATATTTAAATTAATCAAAAGTATTTGAGTAGAGTATTGCCTTGTTGCATATAAAGTTTGGAGTTATAATAGATTTGATAAGTAGAGATGGTTCGCTCGGTCATGTTTAGTGATCGAGTGCCGGTCCCGACTTGTTTAGAAAATGTGTCGTGACAAACTTGGTATCAAAGCCTCAGGTTTATGAAGTCCTAAGGGTCTATGAAGCCGTGTTAGTAGAGTCTTGTTTATGGGTATGAAGCGCGCCATACCTATAAACAGGAGGCTACAAGCATTTAGGAAAAATCTCATTTTTTCATACTTTAGATCGTGCAGTAGATCCTACCTATAAAAAATTATCTAATATATTCGTTTTTCCAAAACTCGCATAAATGGCTCGTACTCGGAACTCTGACACCGACACTCAGGATGCTGCTCAAGAAACTATTGCTACCATTGTGGCTCAAGGTAGAACTAAGAAGGCTTTAACTCAGAAAAAGAAGGGTAGATCGGCAAAAAGGGTCCAAGTACCCCGAGTTGAACGTGAAGAAGGGGTGGATAATGATGAGCAAGTACCTCAGGATCCAGTGCCTCCCCCAACAGTAGCTCCGACTCAGACAACTATATCCCCAGAGGTGGGGCAGATGTTTAATGCAGTCAACAGCGCTATGGAGATGTTTAAAGCCTTCATGGCCAACCAGAACGAGAGAAGAGATGAGATTCCACCTCAATCAAATAGACAGAACAATTTCGAGTCCTCAAGAGTGATTGAATTTTTGAAGTTGAATCCTCTAGTGTTCCATGGTTCTATAGTTGATGAAGATCCAATGTTGTGGCTGTAAGGTGTCAAGAAAGCCCTCCGAGTGATGAAAGCATTTGATGATGAAGTTGTGGAGCTGGCTGCTTACCAGCTTAGAGATGTGGCTGGCACTTGGTTTGAGATATGGGAAAAGGAAAGAGATGAAGATGATGTTCCACCTACTTGGGAAGAATTTTGAAGAGGCCTTCATGGCTAACTTTATCCCAGAAGAGGATAGGGAAGCTAAGGCTACAGAGTTCGAACAACTCAAGCAAATGAATAAAAGTGTGCAAGAGTACTACATGGAATTCATAAGGTTAGCTAATCATGATCCTCATGGTTAAGACAGAAAAAACAAAGATTCGCAGGTTTGTTGGCGGTTTGGATTACCACATTAAGGATACGACATCAGCTGTAGCGGTAGGAATAACAGCTTTCTCCTATGTTGTGGGATTCGCCAAGCACTTAGAAAAAGACAAACAACAAAGGACAGAAGAAAAAGAGCATAGCAAGAAAGCCCGAACATCGGGCAGGTTTAATGGTACATCCAGCGGAGGTAGAAGGGATTCCTCTAATAAGGAGTTATTAGCACTAGCTCAGTCCAGTCATCAGTCAGGTGGTGGGTCTTCCTTCAGACGTACTCAGAGTTATGGAAATAAGTCTCGCCAGAATCAAAATTTTAGGACACCATCCTCACATAGCCAGATCACGTTGAGCAACAGTCACACCAACAAGGTCTTTGTGGAACATGTAAGCGGCAACATTCAGGTCAGTGCAAGCTCGGGGTTTTATGGTTGCTATCATTGTGGAGACATTGGTCATATAAAGGCTAACTACCCAAAGTTGCGACGTAATTTCAGTGGTGGATCAACTCGTCCTTCTAGTTCCTCAGCTATTGCAGTTGCACCACTTCAGGCTCGTGGTTCTCATAATCAGACCGGGCATGGGTCAGGCATAAGTGCAGATCGAGTTACTCAAGGAGGGGGACAACCCCATTTGTTTGCTACACTTGATCGTCAGAGTGTAGAGGCATCTACAGAAGTTATTACAGGTATACTTTTAGTCTGCTCACATAATGCTTATGCCATAATGGATTCATGTTCAACATTTTCATATGTGACTCCATACTTTGCAAACAACCTTGGGCTATAACCTGAACAACTTAGTGAGCCATTCCTAGTATCTACTCCAGTTGGCGAGTCAGTGAAAGTCACAAGAGTCTATAGAGGTTGTATAGTTTCAGTCCAAGGTCGCAACACCAAGGCCGATCTCATAGAATTAGAAATGGTAGATTTCGATGTGATCATGGGTATGGATTGGTTATCTTCCTGCTATGCCATGTTAGATTGTCATGCCAAGATAGTCAGGTTCCAATTTCCAAATGAAGAAGTCTTAGATGGAAGGGTAGTTCAGCATCGCTTGTAGGTAAGTTTATTTCTTACTTTAAGGCACAACGAATGATCGGTAAGGGGTGTCTCGCCTATTTGGCTCACGTTATTAATCCAGAATCAGAACCACCAGCTCTTCAATCTGTTCCAGTTGTTAGAGAATTTCCAGAAGTTTTACCAGATGACCTTCCCGGACTTCCTCCTAAAAGAATCATAGACTTTGGCATTGATCTTATGCCAGGCACTCAACCCATATTACCTCCTTATAGGATGGCTCCAGCGGAACTTAATGAGTTAAGAGAACAGTTGAAAAACCTTCTTGACAAGGGATTCATCAGGTCGAGTGTTTCACCGTGGGGTGCCCCAGTCCTGTTTATCAAGAAGAAAGATGGGTCTCTCAGAATGTGCATCGACTATCGGCAGTTGAATAAAGTTACCATTAAGAACAA